CTAGCATCACGGAATCCCTTCTCAGGACAGATTTTTTTTGCAAAGTTTACTGGCCCACCCCCTTCAACATGCACTTTGACTTTCGCCCGCTCTTTCGCATAACTTTCGCGGAAATATCCCTATTCACAGACCCCGGCCATCAGCAGGGGGTGCACTGAAGGAAAAGCGAAGACCAGGGGCCTTGGTGTTTGGCTCTCGCAAAGCCTCACTTTTCGAAACTTGGCTGCTGCTACTCGCATTCTCTGGTGCCCTTCTCCTGCCGGACCCCGGGCGGCAGTGGGTGGCAGCCCTTTACATATAATGATTATAATACCCAACTTTCGCGAAACTTTCGCGAAATAAAATTTTACTTTTTCGCGAACTCGAAAAAAACTTTCGCGAGGGTTTCCAACATAACATGCACGGCTTTCGCAATTAAAACTCCTTACTAGGACCTTTAGATCGATCACCATATAGATTCATCAAAGTTGGGGGTCATTTCCGCAGAACTAGTCTGGGTACGCAGTCAAATTTCATGCTGAAAGGTGCCGATTCACTGTGTGTTTTGATGTGCTTTGCCTTCTTTGAAACCCTCAGGACTCGATGCCCTGCCGCCAAGAAGTCCTCCATTATGAATAAGCATCAACATTAATATATCAAAACCATCCTGATTATTCCATATTTCCAAACTCTGAATCCCCCTCCGAGAATCAAACATAATAGCCATGGAAAGCAATGGAATCCGCCATTGATGAGATTTCTTATCAGAACATGGGAGATTTCCAAGGCATTGACTATCGGATATCTTAAGTCCTGGGTACCCGGCCGCATCTTCCCGGAAGGCGGCTTTGAACTTTAAGGGAACCAACATCTGCAGGGTGGAAGCGACATCCCAAGCTGGGGCTTACTATCTATCTGTAGATCCATCTCCCATCTCCAATCCACTGGGATGCAAGTGTCCAAGGGTTCATTGATGTTCATTGTACTGCGCTTGTTTGCGCACTTCTTCAAGCTCTTCTTCTTTTTCCTCCCACGCCAGTGCGGATCGAACATGCTGTTTCTATAGCTTCTGCAGAATTTCAGACTTTCTGGGCTGAAAGAAATTGAAACAAATACCCAGGCCCCAAACAAATTTCCGCCCTCAGCCCTTCCGCAGTCCGCCTGGGGACCCCACGGATGGAGTCGCCCCGCCCAAAATCACCCCACCTTTTTGAGTCCCAACGGCCACGGAGCCGATGAATGTTCATCGGAGAACTTATGATTCTACATCTATTGAAAGTAGAATAGACCAAGGTTGGGGAGGAAGAAGTGTTGAAACGCCAAACACACACATGTATATATATATATATATGTATAGTCTAATGGCGCCTAATGTATTGACAGGGGGGCCTCCCCCCCCCTCCGTTATTCATTCTTGGATGGTAGGGATGACAGCACCCTGCTCAGCACCCTGCACAGCACCTTTGCGAGACTTCGCCACCGCAGTCTGGACAACACCCTGCACAGCACCCTGCACAGCACCTTTGCCAGACTTCGCCACCGCAGTCTGGACAACACCCTGCACAGCACCCTGCACAGCACCCTGCACAGCACCTTTGCCAGACTTCGCCACCGCAGTCTGGACAGCACCCTGCACAGCACCCTGCACAGCACCCTGGCTCAAAAGTTCGCCACCGGAGACCCCACCTTAGAGAAGTAAGAACCCCTATAGCTTGCCAGCTATCTGGGGAAAAATGATATATTTGTGTAAAGGTCCACGCATATTCCTGGAAAAAAATATATGTTTGTATGTATATATATATATGTGTGTGTGTGCGCGTGTGTGTTTCTGTACATATATATATATATATGATATGTTTATATACGTAAATATGTAAACATATATGTGTGCAAATATGCTTATATGCATATCTGCATATATGTTCGTAAATGCGTATATAATTTTAAACTATTGTATATACATATATATATATATGTGTGTGTGTATGCATATGTATACGCATATGTATATGCATATGTATATGCATATGTATATGTATTATATGTATGTATTATATGTTTGTATATGTGTGTGGGAGAGAAGCCCTGAAACAAAGTACAAAGGGTCAACAGCAGGGGGTGGTAGCAGGGTCAAGAGTCTACCTACCACCAACGAAGACGCTTCGGTTTCCCTGGTGATACATGGCCTGATCAGCCATGCGTACCTGCATCTCTTTCTCTACGTCGTTGATTGGACATGGCAAGGTGGCTAGGCTAAGCCAAAAACCACCCATGCCGCCATTACATGACATAACACCACTACATAAGATCACTACATCCCCTGAATCACAAACACACTGAATCTATTTCAGGATACATGAACATAGGAATATGATTGGAAATTGGGCGCGCAATGGCGCGCATGTATTCGGGTGGGCATTCCCTTCACGATGTTTCGCTAAAAAAATTCTTGCACTGAGCGCGTGGCCATTGATGGCAGCCCGGGGAATTCTACTGAAACGTGGCATGCGCACGCCGACTTCGCAGGATCCAGTCCAGAACCTTAGCTCCAAGAGACTCCAAAAGACTCCAAGAGGACCTTACAAGGGGTGCAGATGTTTTTTGTTTTTTTTATTGTTATGTTGTTTTTTTTGTTTTTCAGTCTGGGGCACTTTTCCTTGCTATTTGCATCTATTTGCTACATTTTGGAGCAAAAACCTTTACTTTGCGGAATTTTGGAGCTAAAATTTGCCATTTGTACTGTTCATCGATTTTTCCACGGTGTTCATTGATTTACCCAAAGTGTTCATCGATTTTTCCATAGTTTTCATTGAGTTTGCCATGGGTTCAATTGATTTTTGCATGGTTTCAATCGATTTTTCCATGCATAACATGCACCTGGTGAACATGTAGAATATAGGTTGAAGCACAACCATGTTGGGTCTAAATAGTGGCATTGGATGCTATCATAGTGTTCGTTGGTTTAGGGTTTATTTAAGGTTGGTTTAGGGTTGGTTTAGGATCATTTAGGATTGGTTATGGTTTGGTTTTGGTTTAGGGTTCGTTTAGGGTTTATTTAGGATTGGTTTGGGGTTGGTTTAAGGTTGGTTTGGGGTTGGTTGAAAGTTTATTTAGTGTTGGTTTAGGGTTGATCCAGAGTTATTTAGGGATGGTTTAGGGTTTATCTAGGGTTGGTTTAGGGTTCATTTAGGGTCATTTAGGGTTGGCTTAGGTTTATTTAGGGTAGGTTTAGGGTTTATTTAGGGTTGGTTTATGGTTGGTTTAGGGTTGTTTAGGTTTGGTTTAGGGTTCGTTTACGGTTTATTTAAGGTTTATTTGAGGTTTATTTAAGGTTTATTTAAGGTTTATTTAAGGTTTATTTAAGGTTTATTTGGTGTCGGTTTAGTGTTTATTTAGAGTTTATTTAGTGTTGGTTTCGGGTATATTTCGGGTTATTAGGGTTGGTTTACGGTTTATTTAGGGTTGGTCTAGGGTTTATTTAAAGTTGGTTTAAGGTTGATTTAGGTCTGGTTTAGGGTTATTTAGGTTAAGATTTATTTATGGTTTATTAGGGTTGGTTATGTCGGGTTGGTTTAAGGTTTCTTTAGGGTTGGTTCAAGGTTTATTCAAGGTTTATTTAGGGTTTGTTTAGGGTTTGTTTAGGGTTATTTAGGGCTATTTAGGGTTGGTTTGGGGTCTATTCAAAGTCTGTTGAGGGTTGGATTAAGGTACATGTAGGGATACAAGGTATGCATATGAAGATAGATAGATAGATAGATAGATAGATAGATAGGTAGATAGGTAGGTAGGTAGATAGATAGATGGATCAATGGAGCGATGGATCGATGGATGGATGGGTGGATGGATGGATGGATGGGTGGGTGGGTGGATGGATGGATGGATGGATGGATCGATGATCGATAGATAGATAGCTAGACTAGACTAGACTGGACAAGACTAGACAAGACTAGACAAGACAGACTAGACTAGACTGGACTGGACTGGACTGGACTAGACTAGACTAGACTAGATTAGATAGGTAGATTGGATTAGATTAGATTAGATTAGGTTAGATTAGGTTAGATTAGATTAGATTAGATTAGGTTAGATTAGGTTAGATTAGGTTTAGATTAGGATTAGATTAGGATTAGGATTAGATTAGGATTAAATTAGGATTAGGATTAGATTAGGATTAGATCAGGATTAGATTAGGTTTAGATTAGGTTTAGATTAGGATTAGATTAGATTAGATTTAGATTAGATTAGATTAGAGAGATTAGAGAGATAGATTAAAGATAGATAGATTAGATTAGGTTAGTTAGATTAGTTAGGTTAGTTAGGTTAGTTAGGTTGGTTAGATTAGATAGATATATGGATAGGTAAAGCATGGTAAAGCCACAAAAGCCACAAAAGCCACAAAAGCCACACATCCACAAAAGCCACAGAAGCCACAAAAGCCACAAAAGCCACAAAGCCATGCTGGAAAACAAAAAAAAAAGCCCCCCCCTTCCAAGTGCTTAGGAAGCTTCGTCACAGAAGACTTTCTCACCGTGCTCTGTGGCCCGTACCTCCATAGAGCCCTGAAGGCTCTTATGCTGCTTTTCCATAGCCAGGCTTTTTTTGTGACTGCCTGCAAAGAGTTTCAACTCCGTTTTTGCTCCCCACCCCCTCAGTAGGTGTATCAACCAAATTTGCTGGCTGCGCTGGCTGCGCTTGCTGGCTGGTATGGCAGCGGCATCAGAATTCTGTATATGTTTTATTCGTGCTTCTGTTGGGGAATTATCGAAGGGGGACAATGGAGCTCAACCCCAGGAGCTCAAGACTCAACCCTGATCATTTTTTTGTCTCTCCCCCTGTTCTCAAGCTGCGATGGAGTGAACCCAAAAGGCCACAGGAGAATCAACAAAGGGCTTATATACATTTCAATTGTTGTGGTTTTCTGGTCCTGCTTTACCAGGGGGTACCAGCCAACAGAGCTGCTACACAGTGGACACATACAAACGAAAAAGCAAAACATCAAACACGACCTTCGCAACCAACGATTTTGTTTCGAACATTCTAAGCCTGGAAGCTGCAAACTAGGCTCAGCTAGGCTCAGCGGGGCTCAGCGGGACTCTGCTGGGCTCAGGGCTTTCTTTGCCACATGAAGCACAGCACAGCCACTATTTGCGGCTTCTCATTCTACGGGAAGGCAGCTCTTCTGCCTTACCCACTGCCACATAGCGTCATGCCTACAAGCCAAGCACGAAGTGTCCATGGGGTTGGAATAAAGTTGAAATGAATGAATTTCCCACCTCTGCCTCGCGCCCTGTCCAAGAGAAACACCCAGAAATTGCTAGACTATCATTCAGCTGCCTCCAAGTCTCAAAGAGCAGCACTTGTTCCACCTGTTCGCACCAGGGATCCAATCTCCAGTGCCCACTGCTGCACGCCACGTGAGTCACAAATGCAAGACATCTTTTCCGAACACTGACGAGCATGAAGCATCGGGTGCTGTGCACTGTGTCGGCCTCCAGTGGTATAGGAAGTTGGAGTTTCTGACCTTGGGAGTTTTCTGTCAATCGGTCATCAACGACTATCAACAGCATTGTCTGCCAATCGCCTCACATCCACATGCAGCCTGAGTTCTGCTAAAGAGTTCTGCCAGCAAAGTTGGTAAGACATGGCAAGCCATGGCAAGACATGGCAAGACTAGAAACTTAGAAAGCCTAGAATGACTAGAAGCAAAAAAATATGTGACAAAACACGCGTTTTCCGTAGGGACCCCGGCTCGACATCCAGCGGGGCATCTCCTGCCTGACTTTACGTCATCTTAAGTCCACATGTTGTCCACATGACCACGATTGACCAAAAATATAAAAGAGAGAGTGCGTGCGTTGAATTCAGGTGATAAAGTCAGGGTGTCAAGGGTCAGAATGAGTTGGATTCAAATCTGGCAGTGGCGAAACCTTAAATCTGGCTGTGGTTGCTTTTTAGTCAAATCATTTCAAATCTTATCAGCCCTCTGGTCCCTCTTTGACTATGAAGGTTGGCATCATGCTGACAGGTGGAGTCATAAGGCACTGACGCCAGCCAATTCTGGCTGCTTTGTAAGTGACCTTCGTGCAAAGGATCAGCACACAGGAAGCATGAGGTTTATTTTGAAGGTCCCCGACCTTGTCCATCATTTCGGCATTTGATTATCTTGCTGGTTTTATGAAGTGAGTCGCTCAGCGGTACAGTATTTGAATGATTTGGTCACAGGCAGTCATCACATCAAAGGAAATCTGCAGGTGATTCAAAAATTTGTCGCTTCATAGCAGGTGCTTTGCTGAGGCTGCATTTATTTTCAATCCTTGGCCAACACAGTCGGAGCATTTTCGCTTCGAAGGTGGTCGAGTCAGCATCTTTCTGGAAAAGAAGGACCCGTGCCGACGCTCGCCGCATCCAGCACAGGTATGGCCCATGCCAACGCTCTTCTTTGCAGCAGCTGCATTTGTTTCCTTCACTGCCTTCACTCGCTTCAATTTCAAGGCACCCATTCCTCCGAGCGTCAAGTGCCACGCACTGGATTCTATGGACTGTGGAGAGCGTTTCAGCTGAAACGCGCATACACCAGCAGAGATTAGAGATAGTGGTTTCCCTCTTGGCTGGTTCAATGTCGAGACGAGCCGAGAATTGCAGTAGAATAATTTGCGAGCACCACGACGCATCAAGCTTCCATCGTCTAAAGATGAAGGTGGAACCCCGACGTCCTTTGCGACTTCGTGCGGGATATCTGGTGAGAATTGAAGAGGAGTAGAACTTCCAGGCCTCTCACTTTGGGAGGGCTTTGATTTCACCTTCGGCGGCCACGGTTTCCGCTTGCGCAGCAGGGCGACGAAGAAGCCGCCGGTGTTTGCCAAGAACGGAAGGCAACGAACACAACGTTCCAAATGCAAATCCCTCGCGGGCGGCCACATGGAAGGCCGAAAGCGTCGCCGTTGCGCTTTGGTCAAACCTGGACTGCCCTTCAGATTTCATGAAAGATCGCAGGTGAAAACAAAAAGTTCATCAAATCTTCAACCAAAGAGGGCCAAAGATGGTCAGATTGAGTCAAAATCGAGTAGCTTTGAGGATAAAGCTCTTCTCCATCATCCAGCACAGCCCATGTGGTCAGTCCAGGCCTTGTAGGAAGCCCTTCCAGTGCTGGAGCCCCTTCTAAAACAGCACCCGTGCGAAGAAGCAATGCAGCAACAACCGCCTCGTTTTCCAATGGATTGAACGAACAGGTGCTGTAGGTCCTTATCGCAATGCAGGCAACACAAGAAGCTGTCAATAACTTAATGGCCACAGGCGTCAAGCAAAGTAGGTTGCGCATAAATGCATGATAATGCGTGCTATTGCGTGCTCACACTTGTTTCACTTCCGCAAAGCTCATCCAGTTCCACTGGGAAGCCTGGTATTGGACAGTCATTGGAGGTGATCCATGTCACTGTCGGCTTCAGTTGGCACCACCGTTCGCCAGCTCTCTCAGGAGTGCAGTTGCCAACAAACAAGGACCCCATGGAATGATAGAACATGAATGAACATGATAGAAACCAAAAAATACAGAAGAGTTTGACTGACATGAAGCCAAAAGTCATCAAGCCACCCACTTTCAGCAAAGCCATTGCTCTCAAAGCAATCTGCAGCTGCCTTGAATGGAGCTCTCGGCCCAAATGTGGGCTCCAATTTCTCCACTTTTCAGGATGCTTCCTCATGGTGCCATCCCCACTACATGGGACGTCACAGATGATGCGATCATATAGGGCTGGTGTAGGGAACAGCTGCGCCTTGTGCTGTACCACTGCCACGGCAGCAGCTGCAGGTTGTGACGAACACCGCCGTGCCAACACGCAAGCCCGACTGGCACTTAGTTCGTTGGCAATGACCGCACCATCGCCAGCCAATTCCAAAGCCTGCAGCGTCTTTGAGCCTGGAGCCGCACAAAGGTCAAGCACCACATGACCGCGCTCAATGCCCAACATGGCGACCGGTACGGTGCTAACGACTTCTTGTCGGGAGACGCTGCCCTCTGCTGAACATTTGGCAAGCCATAGCCCAAGGCGTGACAAAGCCGACTTTGGATTTTCTTGCTGCTCTTGTCGTAAAGTCTTGGCATCGCAGCCCAACGACGTCGTCTTTGAGAATGGAAACATCCGAGGCGCTGGGACAAATCGACCCCTGGCAGTAGTGCAGCCGTCTTTCAACTCCTGGACCGTTTGCAGCACTAAACATCGACCAACCCAAATGAATCCAGACGAATCCAAATGAGCCTATAGTCGCCGGCTTCTCCCCTTGCGACTAATTCATCTTGCAAGATTCGATGTAAAGAAAAAATAACAAATTGCTATGTGCGCAGTTCTTACGTGTTTCTAGTAGGCTAACTAGGCTACAATCAGACCCTCAGAGTACGTTTCCAGTTTTTGCCTCGTCCTGCAGGAAACCTTCCAGTTGATCTTGCGCACCTGGACTTGCCCGGAACGCTACTGGCAAAGGCTGCCGCAAGCAATGTGCAAGCTTAGCCCATTCGTGCTCAGCTGCGAGAGATTGCCGCCTTGCAAACTCTCACAAAGCAACACAAAAGGAGGCTGACCATAGCACAACGCACACACACAAACACTGCGCTACCTTGCATCACCCTGCATCTTGCAATCGAGTGTCATTAAAATCTAGTTGAATCTTCTGCCCGAACACCGTGCCAAACTTATGCATCTGTGTATACTACTTGCGTTCAGCATTCAAGATTTGCTGCTTCAAACCATCCATCAAAGTCACTGCATCTACACTTCTGCACAAACCACATTTTGTTCAATTTACTCTGAAAGCGAATTGGTGGAAAGCTGCAGCAAAAATCATTGGGATTCCATGGGGTTTCTCTGATTTTATTTGCATCCATACAGCTCTCAGCAAAAGACCTTGCCTGTAGTGCTCCTCAAAGCGAACCAGTCCTTGAGTTATGATGGCTCCAAAATTGCTCCCGCCAACTTCTTGCGGTTCCTCTGCTCCTTAGATGTGTCTGCCGCAACTTTGACACAAACCAGAAGAACATGGCAAGAATTGACAGGACTTAACATTCCAGCAGATTGGCAAACAGGAAGGAACGAAACAAACTACTGCCCGGATGATGCACAGTGAGAAAGAAAATGAAAGAAACATGTCCATCGAGCGCAAGTGGCGAGAAAAAACTCTGGGGTCTCTGGGCTCTGTTGCTCGCTTCTTTCGCGATGAGAGGTGCTTGCTGCGGGGACGTTTCATCTGAGGCAACAATATGGCGCCATGGCATTGATTCAAGAAGACTGGAAAGGTACAGACTACGCCGTGCAATCGATTCTGGCCTAGAGACCCGGCCCTATACAAAACACATCTAAAGACTATCCCAGAATAGCTCAGAGATGTGTTATTTCAATGTTATTTCATCTTGGGTATCGCGTATCAAATCACGTAGTCCACCTACGTGAACGAATGGTGTGCCATAAGTTGTTCGAAGCTGCAAGCTTTACCAATCCCAGACGGAGCCAGACCCTGCAGCTCCATCAGCAAGGCGCAAACATCTGCATATATTTGCCATTGTGAGACAAAGTGCATCATTTCACATTATTCTGCTTAAAGTAGGACTAAGATTTGAAATTGGCTTTTTGAAAATGTTAAAAGTAATGATATCCTGGCGAAAACATGGTCATCTGGTCTTCAAACGCATCAAGGCCCCAGCACCACCGCTGGCAAACCTATACCATGTGACGACACCTTAGTAAGTCGGTCAAACGAACCTGACTCTTACAACATCTGATTCAAATTAAATATATATATATAGTATGTATATCATTGTATGCCATTATATGTTGATTCATATTGATTCAATACATGTCGAATCATGTCGATACCTATTGATACCTTTGATCACTGAGTCTCACTGTGGCTGAAAATGTCTCCAAATACTCAGTCTTACATATTGACCCGTATTGATATTGATATTTCTCACAGTGGATCTAATCAAGGTTGCCAGATTCTCCCGGTTCAGTTGTGTGGCAAGTTACTAGCTGCATCTAGTTGCAAGGAAACAGTCGTGCTCCCCAAGCCGTCAATGCACTGGCCAACAAAAGCATCTACACTATCTACACCATGCGTCCACTCCCTGTCCTCTGAGTGCCCGCACATCAGGCTGGAGCGGCTCTGCAAAGAACCCATCCTCAATGAAGCTGGATGAACATGACATGGAACCGCAGAGCAACCATGAGACATGAAATGGATTGAAACGACTCAAAGATACTCAAAGTAGTTAAGTGATGAAAAGACGTGATTGATGTGATTTTATGTGATTTTCTGTGATTTGTACCCACCAAAATCTTGCACGACTCTGCTGTTAGATCGGCTCGTGCAGCAGTCCTGGTTGTAACCAAAAGGCATCTCCTCGGCGACACCACAACGATACTATGCACCCAGTGGATCACAGCAGAGCATCATTTGTGATGTCACGTTGCGGCTCTATTGCCATCTATTGGCTGTTTTCCTGTTTTTTCGATGTTTTCCTGGATGCTCCTAGACATCTGAGAGCTGGACTGGAAACTCCACTTGCTTTACATGCCGTCGCAGCAAAGCATCCATGACTGCCTGGCCGAAGAGTACCGAAACCCATGGTGAAAGTTTGTGACGTTTGTGAAATACCTTGACCAATTTTCACGGAGCGCACTTTCGTAGAGTGGCTTTCATAAATGACCCTTTGGTGCTAAGCATACGTTGTAAGTTGTTTGATAAAATAACATTTTTGCTATGGCCTCTCAAACGATCTGCCCTACCACTTGCATAGTGAGTGCCGCTGCTCATCCTTCTACCTGGCTGTCATTGCACCCAGTAGTCCGCGCGTGCTCCAGGATTGCCACTCTGTAACTTGGCGGCGATGCAGGTGATAAAAATAAATATAAATAATCTTTAAAAATGCTGAGTAAACACATTTGCTTGGTCCATGTTCTCAAACACTTTATGTTTTGCCAATTGGGGGGAACCACGCAGAAGGAGAAAATTTTTGAAATTGCAGAACATGTACGGCCAGCGCTTGCTATGCCCCAGAGTCTTTCGGGATGATTGTTGGAACCCTCATTCTTGGTGACCCTTACAGCACCTGGTGGTTTCCTGGCATTTGGGAATCCAAGAACCACATGCCTGTGGCTAGCGAACCCAGAGAGGTCGCTGATGACACTGTCCGGTGAATCTGTTGTCCTCCAAAACTGGTTTCATTATGTTTCATTCATGTTTATTTTATTAATTTTTACATAAACCCCACCAAACAATAGAAGAACCTTTAACCTTAAAGAAAATGTAGCCGTAAAGAAAACCGAGAAGTTTCGGTTCAGATGCCAGCGGAACATGGACATGGCAACTGTGAAATCTCTTGCTTCCACGGGTTCATCCGATTGCAAAATATACGGACTGATCCACAGTGCTTGACATGGTGTGAAAGCCACCAAGTACATGGGAACCAAAGTTGCTGTTGCAAAGTCGATTGGGCCAATGATTGAGTTTGATGGACGCGGACCAGTGGGACCCCGCCATTTTGTGGAGCCTTGCGGCACCTGCCAGGGCTCTGACTGCCGCAGCGCCTCTTCGTCGGCTTCAGGAGCTCCATGCCTAAGCGTAGAATCTTGGAACTGAACGACAAGAAGCACGGCGTCCTCACAAATCGGCATGGATACCGCGAAACATTTGTTGTCTCATCATAAGGAGTTTTTAGGCCCAAAACAATGGCTAAATTGGCTACACTGTGCAGTTGATCATGCTCACAGCCAGGGCGACCCGAGCATCCATGATATAAGGGGCTCAAGTGATGTTGGGCCCAACCCGTCTGTTCACTTAGTGATTGTTCCGAATTATCCCTTTCGTCAATTACGAAGTTCACGGCGCCAAACACCAATCTCTGCAACCAAGCCGCTGTAATTTCACCTTGATGTTCGACAATGCCCTGAACAAGTCCAAACATGCAACTCACGGAAATTGATATCTTTGTGACTGCGCTCGCGCACACTCGGCGATATAGTATATATATATATTATGTATAAATGGGATGACTGTCGCTGACTGCACGGCTGCACGGCGTATCCGTTTTTCATCCGGGGCACGCCTGAGATCGTTGTGCGAAAAGAGCTGCGATGCAAGGTTTAATCGAACAAAGGAGGTCTGGCAAAATATGGATGTGCTCTGGGCACTTCTAACAAACGGATATGGATGTGCTTTGAGCATCTCTGGCTGACAAGGGATGGATATCTGTTTCAGATTGCAATGTGCATTGGATCAACATAGTGATACTTGTGGCTGGAGGGGCAGAGGAGGACAGCTGTGAGCCTCACACCAGCCCATTCACCCCCATGAAACGACGGGAATGATTGTCGCTGACTGCACGGCTGCACGGCGTGTCCACTTTTCATCCGGGGCACGCCCGATGCAAGGTTTAATCGAACAAAGCAGGTCTGGCAAAATATGGATGCGCTCTGGGCACTTCTGACAAATGGATATGGATGTGCTCTGAGCATCTCTGACCGACAAGGGATGGATATCTGTTTTGGACTGCAATGCGCATTGGATCAATATTGTGATACTGGTACCATTCCCAAACTTGCACTGTTCAGTTGACCCCATCAGGCTGATGGTGGTCTGGTTGCTGAACAGGAGGTAACACTGTGGGATATCAAGAAAAAAACATATGACGGACAATGACAGATATGATCCAGTGGGTCAGTCAAAACCTCCTACTCGCCTGACAAAGTTTCGCACCAACAAAACGATAAGTTTGGAGCACAAAATCGAAAACGAAGGTCTGCTGATCAGGAAGAGGAAGCCTAGAAGACAACAGAGCGATAACAGAAGGCGTCCCTTGGCAAGCATTTTCAACCGAACCAATCCTGCAATGCAAATATGCAAGACTTTGCTGTGCCAGCTGTTCACAGGACGCACGCTATCACTGAAACTGTTCAGCTCAGACGGGCTGGCGGCAATCATTTTTTGAGCAGACCACTGCTTGCAGAACTGAGCAAAGCGGCTGTCGCCTCTGTATGACTTCGCACATCGAAGGATTTCAGTCTCGGGAAGATCGGTGTACTTTGCACCTTATATGCCTGCCACCTTGTACCACTGCTTTTCGAAATTTCTTCTTCAAATCGCCCCCACTCTCGGCAGGCTTTCCAGATTGGTCCATTGAAAAGCCACGGTCGCTGAGTCAGCCGGTGTTCATCTGGGATGTTTGAGCAGCTTAGCTGGGATTTGAAGCAAAAAAGACTCTTTTTCTAGGAACACATGCAACTTCCAAGCAGTCTTCTGCTTTAGGTCTTGCATCAACTGGTTTGCTTTGGCTGATTGCACGTAATGTTCTAAGCTTTGGGCATTCGCCCATCTACCTTGAAACTTTAACCTCCCTACATCTTGTTCTTCGTGAAACATGAAAGTAGCACCTCCAGCTCGAAGAGAACCAAGGCTGTGCAAGCCTTTCTTCATATTAAATATGAAGATCTTGGCAACATTTTTGAAAGAACCGTCGGAATTCAGAGGCCAAGTGCGACCACAGTAAATCTTCTACATCTCGCTTGGAACACAGCCAAGCAAGCCATTCACAGGTGGGTGTGTGCTTGATAGTGGAAAACTGTTGGTCGGCAACCCCCAAGCACGTGAACATTGTGGTGACAACGGGAGCAGTTGCGGCTCATGCGTGTGATTCCTAGGATTGTGCTTAGGATCTTTGTTCGTTTTCTGGCAAAGACAAGCATACCATTATCATCAGGGATTTTTAAACCATACTCACATTGATCAAAAATAGCCAATCACCTGAAGTTTGTTTTGCTAGCTGTTCCATGTATGGCATCCGCCATGTGTATGACAATTTCTTGTTTTCAGTGCTGAAAAACTTCTATGTGCGTCCGAAAGGAAACAAAGATGTACAGTGCGATTCAGCAACTCGTTCCCCCTTTTTTCTTTGATAAGGGAGCCATCCCCTTCGGGCCTAGCCTTGCTTCGTGTACCCCCGTTCAAGTTCTGCATGACGCTGAAAATATTGGGGGGGCCGAAATGCCAAATTTGTCGTGGTCGGGATGCCTCTGCGCAGAGCCTTGCCAAAACTTTGTCATTCAGGAGGTCATGATTGGTGCATGGATTTCCTCTCTGGATTTTTTCAATGGGAGCAGCTATGCCAAACGCGCCTCTCTTTTGAAACTCATGCGTCAACCGGCCTTTCCCTGCGAAGATTTCTAAAAATGTCCAAGCTTTTTGAGCAACGTGGGGTCTATGAATAAAAGCGCTGTGAATGGCCCGGCTGGTTTCGTCGTCAAACTCTTGGAACCTGCAAGGAATATGATCATGAGCCTCCATATCCCTGCCAGCTTGCTGATATATTACTTTATTTGACTTTCGTGAACTTAGTTCAGGGACGTCTTGGCCGAGACAGCTTTTAATTGTAGGGTCATTGGGACATGGTTCGGGGATCCTGCGGCCCCTGGATGGATGGTCTGATGGATTACTTTTAGATTGCCCCCACACTAGATGGACGCTCTTTTGCCCTTTGACAGCCCATCCAAGCATTGATCTCAAAACCCTATCGAGCTGACGGCTCGAAGAGCGGCCTTTGTTATAAGCTCCTACCACAACCCAAGAATCTATTAATACTACGGCCCTTTGTGGTTGTTGGCTCTTGGCCACCCATTCTTTCAATTCATCTTTGAGCATTTTAACTACAGTTCCAGTACATTGATGTGCTGTTTTTGCCCGAATCTGCATGCACGCGTAGAATTCCAACAATGTGCTAACAATAGCTCTTCAAGCTCAGAAGGTGGTGGTTGCATGATGCTGGGCGGAGCTAGCCAATGACCAGTTGACCAGTCCAGTCGAACTGGTTCTCCAGCATGCTCGCTGGATCTGTATAAAGCGCGAGCCACACTCGAAGTTGTGAGTGGCCGCTCTTCCTCCTCCAGTGGAAGAGGCGTCTGTGGCTCCCACTCGAGAACTTACCGGGCCATCTTATGTTTGCATGCATACATGGCAAGCATAAGATCATAAATAGAAGTTCCTCCCTGACAGAAGAAGGTAGTTAGTCGATACTTTTGCCCAACCTGAAGGGACTCACACCATGTGTAGATTTCTTGGACAAGAAGCATGAAAATTCGCCTGTGTAGGCACAGGTGCACAAGCAGACGGTTGTTTTTTGGACAAGCTTTTATGTGACCCAAGGACTTCTACAATCAAGTGGCATAGCATGGCTGCTTCAGTTTTGGCATGGGCGTTCCAACCCGGCCCGAGTTGCTATCAACGGCAGTACCCCAAGCAATAAAAACTAGACGACGGTTGGCCCGAGAGCGAAAAAGATGTTTTTCAAGCAGCTCTGAGGATGGTAGTCGTAAAAGATAGTCGGTGAATAGTTGGTGAATTTTATATGAGCTATGGAAAGATATGGTGTGAAAAAGTAAGATTGATCAAGAAGAGAATATTTGGTAAAGGGCATCAGATGACATGTGTCTTGCAACCACAGAGAGAAAGAGGGGGCAGAGATAAAGAGAGAGAGAGAGAGAAAGAGAGAGAGAGAGAGAGAGAGAAAGAGAAAGCAAGAGAGAGAGAGAGAGAATGAAAGGGGGGGGAGAAAGAAAACATGTAGAAATGTAATGTGAGCAACAAAAGTGCACAGGAGGCTCAGTACCATGAGTCTGCGAATGACATGTGCTATCTCATTTTATTATGGTAATTCCCACACACATTGCGGAAAAAGGCTCGGCACCATCATTCCGTGAACGCGAAGAAACGCGACGGTTTTATACAGAGACGCTTTTACACACAGAATCTTTTACACATAAACTTACACTGTTAATCACTTTTACACACAGACGCTTTCACACAGAGACGTTTTTCATGCACACACGCACACAGACGCATTTCCACACAGAGACTTTTACACGAAAACACTTTAACACACAGACGCTTTTATACACAGACTCTTTTACACACATACGCTTTTACATGCAGATGCCTTTTTACAGACGCACACACACTTTCACACACAAACGCTTTTACACACAGACGCTTTTGCACACAGACACAGACGCTTTTCCACACAGACCCTTTTACACACGGACGCTTTTACACACAAACACTTTTACACACATACGCTTTTACACACGGACGCTTTTACGCGCAAACACTTTTACATACAGGCGCTTTTACACACAGACGCTTTTACACTCAGACACTTTTACACACAGACGCTTTTCCACACAGACCCTTTTACACACAGACGCTTTTACACACAAACACTTTTACACACAGACGCTCCCACAGAGACTTTTACACAGAGACGCTCACAAAGCGCGGCACCACTGGGTGACCTCAGTTGCAAACAAAGGTGCGCAAACATAGTTGCAATGGAAATGCTAAAAAATCGCAAAAGTGCACAAGACCAGGCTCAGTACCATGATCAACGCACAATCCAATGCAAGGCATCCGCTCGTTGAGATACAAAATAAGCTCGGCACCATGATGCCGTGGATGACCTCAGTTGCAAACACAGGTGGGCAAACATAGTCGCAATGGAAATGCTACAAAATGCAAAAGTACACAAACAAAGGCTCCGTACCATGGTATCCAAAAGAATCTAGAACTCCGTGCAAGAATGCTGCGGATGATTCCACAATAGCAAGTTCGATATCATGATGGCAAGGATGACACCTGTTTCACTGCATTTCTCCGATGTCCCTACAGGATGGAAAAAAAAAACTTTGCAGACAAACAACAGTTGGCTACTGGTTTTGCATGTTCGTCTGTTCGTCACGAACAGTCTCTCCAGACGAACACTGCTACAGATTAATTTGCGCCAGGGCATCGAAGAAATCATCTGCACAGCTGCAAATACAGATGGTGGTGTCTGCCTCCTTCCAATGACACATTTTCTTCAAAACAACTGGCCAACCAGCTTTTACCAGATAGTGTCCGGTTTCTGGTTGCAAAGAATATTTTGCAGCCAATTCAGAGCTCCCAGGCACAAATGAAAGAATGTGTCGTAGAATTTGTTCATCAAAGACATCCGCCCTTGCACGGATTCCCTCCACATTCCCTCCACGGTCTTTCTGGCAGAACACACTTACATCCCCAAATACTTTATGCGACATGTTTGTGCACCAAAATTTTGTTTGTTGTTAACTGCTGTCATGTCCAACGATGTGGGCGCTGCCGCCGAGTATCTTTCAACACCAAGACCCATAATCGGTTGGCATCATCTCTTGCTTCTTCATTTGAAAACAGAATGTAATACAATGTGAAATCGAGCATGAGCTCATGCATCCAAGCTAGTGGCAAATGGCCCCAGAAATGGCGGCCCATTTCCGGAGGGCCGTTCATGTACACACACAACGTCCATCGCATTTTTTGCTCAGTTTTTGACGTCCAACGTCCATTTCGTGTGTCAGGGTTGCGATTGACTAAGTAAAGTCGCAATTTTTCCTCAGTTTTTGACGTCCAACGTCCATTTCGTGCGAAAGGGTTGCGCGCGACGGATAAAAGTTGCAATTTTTCCTCAGTTTTTGACGTCCAACGTCCATTTCGTGCGAAGTGGCAATTTCTCGACAGTTTTTGACGTCCAACGTCCATTTCGTGCGTAAAGGTTGCGCGGGACACCTCAAAGTCGCAATTTTTCCTCAGTTTTTGACGTCCAACGTCCGTGCGTAATGGTTGCGCGGGACACCTCAAAGTCGCAATTTTTCCTCAGTTTTTGACGTCCAACGTCCATTTCGTGCGAAAGGGTTGCGTTTCGTGGCGCTCCGGCGGCACCGCCCCCGCCTTAAGAGAGAATAGAAGAGCGAGAGGAGATCTGCAGATGTGAAGGTGTAGTAGATCTGCAGATGTCAGGGTGTGAAGATGTAGATCTGCAGATGTCAGGGTGTGAAGATGTAGATCTGCAGATGTGAGGGTGTGAAGATCTAGATCTGCAGGTGTGAAGGTGTGAAGATCTAGATCTGCAGGTGTGGAGGTGTGAAGATGTAGATCTGCAGATGTCAGGGTGTGAAGATGTAGATTTGCAGATGTGAGGGTGTGAAGATGTGAAGGTGTGAAGATGTAGATCTGCAGATGTGAGGGTGTGAAGATGTAGATCTGCAGATGTCAGGGTGTGAAGATGTAGATCTGCAGATGTGAGGGTGTGAAGATCTAGATCTGCAGGTGTGAAGGTGTGAAGATCTAGATCTGCAGGTGTGAAGGTGTGAAGGTGTAGATCAGCAGATGTGAGGGTGTGAAGATGTAGATCTGCAGATGTCAGGGTGTGAAGATGTAGATCTGCAGATGTGAGGGTGTGAAGATCTAGATCTGCAGGTGTGAAGGTGTGAAGATCTAGATCTGCAGATGTGAAGGTGTGAAGATGTAGTATAACGGCTGCTTTTTTACGAAGAACCCTTCGCAGGCGCTCTCGGGAAAATTTTCCATTTTGGTGAAGTGATTGTTTTGTGACACAGGGACCCCGCGTCTACTATATTGCTCCCGGCTACGTCGTCTCTAAATTTGGCTTTCTTATCCCGCAACTTACCGTTAGGGGCTATTTGAGTCACAATATGGTCAATATACAACCCTCCCAAGCTGGCTTGGCAGGCAACCTGCTTCTAAATGCTACAACCTCAGTGGGATCCATGCAGTGGGCATCTCGCAAAATCTGGGACCTAAGGATATATTCTTTTTTGGGGTCGCATCCAAAATCAATGAAATGTTCTCCTTTTACAGGTTTCCCCACTGTATTCCTCCCTAGCCAACCTTCACGATGCTTGAACAAGTAGAAATAATTAGCCAAATCATCGCCTGATGCTCTGATAGAACTACTGTTGGGGAGAATCAGTTGGGTAAACAGGGAACCGTGGGGAAGTTTTGCCAGGACAATTCGTTTTGCTAATTGGTTCACCGGTCGGCGATCTAAAATGACCCGGTTAGAATGCTCCTATATGGGGGGCCGCGAATAAACCTCCGGATGCTATATTCCCCTCATGGTCTCTAAGAGCCATTTCGGTTGGGATCAGAACAGCAACTTTTGAATTGATGAGTTTGCGGTACACAGCTGGTAAATCTTCATCGGTTACTTTCATATGTCCCTTCACCGGTTGTTCAATGGTAATAGTTTGGAGAAATCACCTTTGAGGAATTGCCGCGGGTCCAAGATGCCAGCCTCGGCTGGTAGCGACATGCGCTCAGGGTTTACAAACTTCGCATTTTCACACATTTCTTCTATGGTAATGGGGCCCGGCCGGTAAGACGAATTGTTTGCATTATTGGCTTTATGATTATGGGTGCAGCCTGAGCACGTCGAACCAAATATAGTTGGTCAGATCGACTGAATGGGCAACCCCCTCTAAAAAAGTAAAAAGGTTCCACAAAATATCTGTCCAAAACCAACTAACCCCACGGCCTCGTCTACGTGCTCTTTGGCGAGCACCCTTGGCGACACCAAGTTCTTCTGGCAAAACCAGCTTAGACGGAAAAAGAGGAACGTCAATCCCTTTCTTCAAGGGTGTCCTAGGCCCGACTCCTCGGTGGAAGCTGTTTCATGCATGGGCCGAAGAAATCTTCCGAAAGAACCGTCGCTATCAAAGAGTTCTCCTAACAACGAATTACATTCAGAGTCTGGCTTCGCAGAATCTGGTTTTTGAAAAGACGCGCGCCGGCTCACGGGTTTGCGCCCTCCTCCTGTCTTTCTCCTTTCTCTGGCTTCTCGCCTTTCCCTTTTGCTTTCTTGTTCTTCTTGGTGCGACCTTTTCCAGATTCCTCTGCGGGTGGATTCCACGAACTGGCGCCGGCTTGTCTCAATCGCTCCGTGTTCCGCTCTTATTCGCACATGCTCTTGAGATACGACGCAATGTGTTGCAGCTCCTCCGGCTCGCCTCCCCACTTTTGCTTCGTGAATGGATCTTGCAAATGGCAAATCGCCCAGGCAATTGACCAGTCTTAGTCTATGGCAGCCTGGTCGGTGCTCCGGGCACAAGGTCACCTGCAAACAAGCCTTTTCGTTCTTGCCCTGCCACATATAATTTCGAGAATTTCCGACAACATGAAGTGTACTCGTTGCAGGCTTTTCTGCTTTCCCCATGCTATCTTCCGCCCGGCCTCTGAAAGCCTGAAGGGCCGACCCACGGCTCCCAAGGATTCCTCGACCTCTTTGACGTACTTTCTGACGGACATGGTGAAGGGGTCGGCAAGAAATTATCTTTTTTTAGCTTCGGTAATTCTCGATGGCCTTTGCATGTCCAGACTTGCGAGGCGACGGGCGGTCTCCGAGCTGGCTGAACTGGCTTCGGATTGGCTGGTGTCGCTTGCGGACGAACTTGAACTTCTCCGACTGCGCCTGTTTTCTCCCTTCTTCCCCAGAGACTTGGACAGCTACAGGCACCGGGCTAGCAAGGCCCTGATAGGATCACTCCTCCTCCCTTCAGCGAATCTAGCAAGATCTGCTGGGTGTCGGGCTTTTCCTCCTTGCACTTGCGGTCCTCCCTGGCCTGGCTGGGAAACTTGAACCTCTTGCCTTTTGGCAACTTCGAGCTTGGCAGCTTTCGGGTGGGCGTAGCCTCTTCTTGCCATGGCTTTTGCGTCTTTTTAGAAAAGTTTCCAGCTCTGCCTCGTCCTCGCTGCTTGAATCGCTCTCGCTCTGCCTCGCATTGGGCTTCCGGCTGTCGCGATGTTTTTGCCTTTGCGCCGCCGATCTGGTTCGGACGCCGTGGCACACTGCAGCTCCGAGTCGCTGTTCAGAAGTTGCTTTGCCTCGCTCACCAGGTCTCCAGTCACTACTCCAAATTCGACATACGTGCTGGAACATGCTGCATGCAGCTGGTGCATTTGGCATTCAAGCAGAAAATACAGTAAATCTTGCCACTGAAGCTAAAGCTGCAAACACCAGAGGCTATCTCTTCTGCTTTCTTGGTGCACACTGCCAACTGAGTCCAATCCTTTTCCGCACCAACAACCAAAGCTTCCCGCCACCGAGGCTCTGAAAAACTTCCAGCGAACAGCACAGATAAATCCAGTCTGGCCCAAATTTGCTGCCATCTAAATCCTCCAGTGACTGCTCAATTCCCTTCGTAGGCCGGATCTTCACAAAATTCACTCAGCATTCAAATCCCTGCGGCCCGGATGGGGGAAATGAAGCTTACTATCTCTATGGCAGCCAAACCGCGTTCTACATCCTATCACGCTGCTGTGAGCCTCACAGCAACCCAATCACCCATGAAAAGATATTTATATATATATATACATATACAGTATTCCGCGCATTTACATGGCCATACGTGGTGTATAATATACGTTGTGTGTGTGTATCTATTTACAAATTATATATATATATTATATATATGTGTGTGTGGGCGCATGTAAGAGATCATTCAAGCGCCACAAGCATCGTGCGGAGAATGCTTTTCGTCATGAATGCTTGGTGTATAAAGCCTCACGCTTCACACCTCACGCAAACAGAGGGTTGAAGCCTCAGCCACAACTTCCGTTCAGCGATGGTTCGGGCAGAGAATAGGTGCTGCTCCACGGTAAAGCAGGTACAACCTCAGTGAAGTGAATGTGACGCGTGGCACAGCCTGTCATTTGTCATTCAGACTTAAAAGGGGGCCCAAACAAAAAAACATAATGCAGAATTCCGTGCTGGGGAGTGCGAGTTGCGCGACCTGCAATCCTAAGATCTACCTGGCAGCATTGTCGACATTTGCCCCAGGCTTCCCAAATATTCCCAAATTGCAACGGCTTTTCAAGGTGACACAAATACAGCAAGAGTACGTAAACTGATCAAATATGATAATATGATCCAATGATCTGTGTGGGAGAAATGGGGTCCCCTCTGGACATGGCTGGGACATGCTGGTAGGTAAAGGCAGGCTTCTGCACATACTTGATACCAAGTACAGAAATCAGCCAATTCTTCACTCTCAACTAGCGATGAGGGATGTGATGACTGGGTGAACCAAGTGACCTAATGCGGCAGGACAAGCATACAATCCAAGCTGCAAAAACTTGGTAAGAAGGAAGCCATCACGGACAAGAGGGGCTGAATAAAAAACGGAAAGGTTTCATACAACATGGCAGGGTTGGCTCTGTAGACTTGAGGCCGACGGGAAGGGGACGAAAGTAGTTGCGCAAGGAGAGATGTATGTTGAGAGCATATGTGGCGTGACCTTTTCGATTTCAATGTTTGAATTACAGTAAGCTTGAGAAAGAAGGTCGCGCCAAATCCCTTCTCCACTAAACAAATAACCCAGGCTTAGAATCTGGTAACTTAGGTACATACATCCATCGAGCAAGAATGCTTGGGAATCTTAAGATGCGCATCTGCCATTCCTCGTCAAGACTGGGCCATGTTTTCATGCAACGTCTTGGGGACAAGGAGTGCAAGAATCCAAGTGGTTGTTCATGGCTGTTCTATCCTTACATTACATTAAACTACATTACGTTACATTAAACTAAATTACATTACATGTCATTGCATTACATTACATTGCAGCACATGACATTACAGTACATTAGATTGTGTATTTTACCAGGTCAACCGACAATGGGGAAATACTACAACAAATCCGCTAAGCTCTCAGCTCTTTTTGAACCAACGCTTCAGAGTAGATCGATGACATATATTATACATGGTTTTACTGCAGGAGTTTTTACACCCCCCTCGGGCGAGCAGGGACGACTGCGGAGAACGAATAACCCAGAAGAGCATACCCTCGCGGGTAGCCAAATCTGTTTATTTGGTTTTAATCATTTTATGCAGTCTTTCAAAGGTCCCTTTAAAAAGCTCAAGCCCGTAAAACCAAGCGCAGCGTTGCAAGGAAGGCACATTACCATGCCGCATCTTGCGCTATGCTACAAAAGAAAATCATCGTCTACCTGCGGTTCCAATAGATCCAACGGCTGCCGGCCTCGTCACGGTAATACCAAGCCCCACGCCAGAAACTCCATTCTCGGCGTGCACCATAGTGATCACGATTCCAACTCCAAGAGGCATCCGGGCGACCGGAGCTTGCAGCCTTCGATGTGACTGTGCTTGCTGCTTTTGCAGTGGGCGGCGTCTCAGGCTCCAAGAATGGTCGTGCTCCTGCTTTGGATGTTGGTGGTTCGGGTGCAAGAAATGGTGCATTGTTGGGATCAACTGGGGCATCAGCGTGCGAGGCGTCTGCGCGAGCAGAGCTTGAGGCGGCTGTGTCATCATGTGCGGTGGCGGATGCATCAGCTTCGGCTTTGCGCTTTCGCTCAGTGGTGGGCGCGACCGTGGGGTCGGCCTTTTGACCTCCAGGACCTCCAGCCTTTGCAGCGGCGCTCTGCTTCTCTTTGCGTTCAAGGTTGCCCCGAACCAATGGAAGGTTTTCCTCATACAGCTTTTCGAGGAATTCAAGAGTGCCATCAAAAGGAACTTGGACGGTGCCCTTCCAGGTCAGCAGGCCACGGAATGCGCCACGACGGCCGATGTAGCTGACATATTCATCCTCTGTAAAAATGTGGCGGCCGAACATGAATCCCCAGACTTTCTTCCATGTTTTGCGGAACTCAACTGGGAACCCTTCCACACCTCGAGGCTGGGACATGAAAATCAACTTTGATAAGCAGTTTTCATTTTGGGCATTGGCGGCGACGCCAGCCGAGATCTGAGCTTTGGTCCTGGGGGGATCGGGGAGGTTAGCGTATGCGAACATATCATCAAAGATACATTCCTGCAGGCCCTTCCCCTCACCGTGGATGCGGTCGCAAAAAGTGACGTCGCTGGCGAATCTATCTTCCACGTCCTCGTAGCCCAGCGCTTTTGCACGTCGATGCCTGTCGCGGCAGTCTTTGAGGACTGCTGATTCCACGGATGTGATTCCCCTGGGGCCCAGTTCCCGGCGAAGAAGATCGGCTTGCTCATTTGTCAAAGCCGTCAACAAGCTGCCGCTCATTTTCCCAAACATTCCGAACCCGGCGAGACTCTGCATTCGCCGTTCAAGGATGCGGGTCCTCCTGTTGGGTTTGTCGGCCTCTTTTGTTTCGCCACTTTCGTCCACTGGGAGTGGCTCATATCCACATGTGGTGCATGTCACTTGGCCACTGACGTACTCGACCTGGCAGAGGGGGCAGGAGCCCATGAAAGGTTCGCAGTACTTTGGTGCAATGTAAACACGGCGCGTCCTTGCGGGCGGCTGGTCAACTTGCATTGGGGCAGTGGCTGCATCATCAGTGGACTTGGCATCGGGTCGCCCCGTGCTGGTGTCATCCATTGGGTCGTCATTTGCATCATCTCGGGCAGTCAGGGTGACCGCTCTGGATTTCGGTGCTGAGGCTGATTCCGCGCCTGTCCATGAGCTGGGCTCGAGATTGCTCTCGGCGCGGGACCAAAGCACCTGTCCATCTTCTGAGATGCTGACCAGAAACTGCGGTGGGATGCGTTCTGAACACAAAATACCATCCATTTCTGTGCGACTAAAGATGACACCAGCTTCAACTGCTTGCCGCATTGCGATTTTGACTTCGACTGGACATTTTGCTCTTAATCCAGATCGATATCCCTGTGTGCCGATACAGTGTTCTGCCATGTAGATATGAGCACGGCCACTGTTGACTGTGTCACCGCCGCCTGGGATCAGGCCGTTCTGTGCGATGCTCTTCCAGCTGCTTCTCATCGTGCGATGAAAAACAACTTCAGGGACCTCAGTCATGGCACACAAGGGCACGCCAGTGAAGGCGGCTTTTCGCTCGGGGGATACTTGGTTTGAGCAATACACCATGGTTGAATTGGCATAAAGACCCCCGGCGGTTTTCAAGGCAGCTTCGGAATGACCCTGAATTGCACGGATTTTCACAGGATAATACGGCATGCCTAGGCCATTGTCGACAGGAAAATGGGAGATCTTTGCACACAAGAATTGGAACCTACTCTTGCCATGCTTGTCGATCTTCATTGCGGTGCCAAATAGGTTTGCGACAGTGATGAAAACATCTGGGGGCACTTCCTTGCGGAAGGCTTTGGCAAAATCCTCCAAGTCGATCCAAAGGTCTTTGTCCATTGGCACCTTGGCACAGGATCCATGCCCCCTGCAAACTTTGTTGACACGGGTTGCAAAATCGGAAAATTTCTTGTCGACACGAGTCTGGCCAGCAATGGTCTCAACGTCGGATGCCGATAGCAGTTCCAGTTCATAGGCCGTACCTTCAAAGAGGATCCCGGGCACATCTTCCCCGTCTGCATTGGTCACCATTGTATATTGGTATTCAGGCAAGTGCTCTTCCATCCAATATGCTTTCACGTGGCCGGATGCATGTTCCTCTAAGCGCGCAGTTGCCTGCGGCTGGTACTGGCTGGATGTGGCTCTTTTGTCATCTGCGGGCTCATCCACTGGGACTGGTGCTGCTTTCGGTCGCGACTTCAACATGACCTCAGCCGTTTGGACCAGGATTGTTGCTCTGCTGGGTGCAGCGGGCTCGCCGTCGCCGGCGGCCTTTGAAGGGTCATCTTTGGGAGGCTCAGCAAAAGTTCCAGAAGGCATCGTCTTGGTGTCGATGTAGTCCTCGGTGTCTGGTTGTTGAGCTTCAACGTCCTCCTTGGTGAATGACCTGCCCGTCGGCGTGATGTGTCTTCGGGACTCTCCAAAAAGCAACTTGGTGATGTTTGCACATGTCTCCTGATGGGATCTTGGCAGCTCGTCGAGGACGGCGCTCATGTTCCTCCGCAAATCATCCCATGTTTCTTGGCCACACTGAGTAAGCTCCAAACCAATTCGGCCAACCCGCCATCCGCAGTCAATAGCGAACAATGTCGCTGTCCAATAAGCGGCAAGACGCGTGCGATTTTCTTCAGAGTTGGCGAAATGCCACTGGTCTCTGAATTCCATTGCATCGGCGTACCCCTTCGCTTTCAGCCACGGATACTTCGGATTGGCAAGCCCTTGCAGGCTGCTGGTTAGAGCTTTAAATCTTGGCTCCAATGCATCAAAGAACTGGTCAAAGATAGGATGGATGCCATAGTCAGCGGACCAAGGCGCGGTCGTGAGACCGGCCGACTGCAAATCCAACTCCCGGGCCTTGTTGACAAACCAAGTCAAATGGCGCTCACAATCATCCAAGATCGTGGGCCAGTGCCCGTTGGGGCCGTCGTATGGCCAATTTGGATTTTGGGCAATCCCATCCTCACCTACCAATTCATTTCCGAACCAGGACAAATGCAGGTTGATGCGGGCATCAGGATAGCGCTCGCGGGCGTCCGCGGCCAATTCAATCCCACGTTTGACCAACTTCTGCAGAGTTTTGCCCCAAAGCATCTCATGGATAAACTCAGTCACATACTTAGGTTTGCGCTGCCGGTAATGCTCGGACAGGTCAAACTTCTTAAGTGTTTTCCTACGCCCTGTGATCAATGCACATGACGAGTCAGAGACTAAGATCCAGATTACTTCATTGACAGGCATCTCTGGCAACATGATCTTTTCAATGTGGGACTCCTTTGGCAAAAAGCAGAAGCTAAGGTATTCTGCAAGCGGATCCTCTCGACCGTAGAACCTCAGGGCCGAGGCCGGCGTCCATTCGGTCAT